ATGTAATCCAGCACTGTGGAGCCAGTGAGGGTTGGTGGGTCAGACAAATGTTGCGAAATTCCCTTCCCGTGAGGGTAGAGGTTGCAGTACCCTGACTGGCCAGGAGAAGGCGGTACAGCAAGAGTAGACTAATCTCCATCTGTCCGATCTGTACGGGATCGAGTGTTGCGTCCTCGCATGGGTGGATTTTCTCCAGGAGCCCCGGTTTCCTCCCACACGTGTAATCACTCATTAATTGGCTGAAAACATCCGAATATATATGCCGCTCCATGTGTTATGTGTTGTGCAGAGTTGTGAGATGCTGTTTGCATGAATGATGCTTCGATATAAAAACACATTTATATCTCAAACAGCTGTAGGAATTAATCCATTGTACTCTACCACCAATTTTATAAATGTAACGTTTTTGCAATGGTCATTTTGTAAATACACATTATTACTATTGTAACAAGGCCTTGTTTAAGGCCTATTCACTGTCCATTTATTTAACACTACTGGAGTGATAATTGTTTTTTTTTACCCTTTTATCTGGCAACAAAACTGACACATTTTTTACAAGGAGTCATGTTTGCATTGACTAGAATACCTGCGGTCGGAGTTCAAACAAAAAACATAACTCTGATAATGTATGCACTGTCCTTGAAATTGATTGGTTCACACCCGAGACATCTTTCCTTAGAAGCCTCGTCTCACACGGTGTTGGACCAGATGACGCCAAAAGGCGCACGGCGCGTTTTGGCGTCAAAACTGACACAAAAAAATGTGACTTATCATATTTTGCTACTGGCAAAGGAGGTTCCAATGGTACAGTACTGGAGGTCAGTGTACAACACTTTTACATTTATGCGACCTAATCCAAGAGTTCCCAGTATTGATCAATATAGAGCATTTTAAAAATAAATGTTATCACGATTTAGCATGTGTTTTGATATTATACACATGTTACGTCTCATTTCATAGGCTTGAATGATACATACAATCAACATTTCATCCAGACAACACAAGAAAACACATCTGAAGACTGGGCAACTAGTGAACAGACCACAGCATCCCAGCTACAATCCAAAAGGCCTACTTTGCCCACTCCACAAATTACTCCAAGTACTAGGACACTAATCCTTCTGTGTGCACGTTTCCTGTTCATAACGATCATAGGACTTGCAGCAGTCATTCTCTATGTGGCTGAACAAGGAGCGGATCTGGTGGTTAGTGAACACTTAGAAAACACTGCATTTACACATTTATAGCAAGTGGTTGTATATGTTTAAAAACAACACTTAGAAATGTGTACAAGCACTCAGCCTTGATGCGTCATGCAAAATAATCAATTGGTAGTTCCTAAATAAGTAATGGGGGGTTTCTAGACACTATATATTTGAATATATTTTATTTGCTGTTCTATGCTCTGTCATATCTTTGTCAATGAATGCACGTTAAAGGAAAACGTCACATCAAGCTAACACACAGTCCCTCAATAATATGTCACATTAACAGTGACAAACTAAACGAGGCTCAACATGCCGATGAATATAACAATAGCTGTACTTAACTCAGCCCAATTGGTCTCTATGGTCCAAGACTTTGTACTGTCCCCTGACGATATCCTTGTCAGCTTCAATGTGGTCTCTCTGTTCACCAAGGTCCCAGTAGCTGATACCATTGAATAATTGAAAATTTGGTTCAACATGGACTAGACCCCGATACACCTGCGCTGGTTAGGCACTGCCTCACCAATACCTACTTTACTTGGAATGGCACCTTCTACAAACAAAATGAGGGTACCCCCATGGGTTCCCCCTTGTCACCAGTGATAGCCAATGTTTGCATGGAGAAATTTGAATCAGACGCCATCCAGACTTCCACCCTCAGACCTTCCCTGTGGAAGAGATATGTAGACGACACTTTCGTCATTTGGCCACATGGCCTCCCAGCTTTGAACCTTTTCCTAGACCACATTCATGCCAGACGCCCCGCCATCAAATTCACCATGGAAGTGGAGAAAGATGGCAAGCTGCCATTCTTGTATGTTCTGTTTGAGAGGAGACCTGATGGCTCATTGGGACATTCTGTCTACAGGAAACCCACCCACACAGATTCCTACTTGAAACCTGATTCCCACCAACACCCGACGCAAAATAATTCTCTCATCAAAACGTTATACCACAGGGCTCATTGCATTTCGGACCAACACCACCTGACCAGTGAATTAAAACATGTACATCTGGCCCTCAAAAAGAATGGATACTCTGACCGTACCATCCGCCAAGCTGTTTCTCCCTCCATACAGCAACAACCACTTGATACTCCGATCAATACCATCACACTACCATATATAGCAGGCGTTACTAAAAATATCTCCAAAATTCTAAACAAACACAAGATCCTGGTCCGGTTCAATACAGTACACAAAATCCGTGACCTGATCCCTTCCGTGAAGGATGTCATTCCTGACTTACAGTACCCCGGGGTTTACAAATTGATCTGCACCTGTGGTGACTCCTATATCGGGGAGACGAAACGACATGTCTCTGACCGAATTCGCGAGCACAAATCAGATTTGAAACACGGCAGAACGAATAGCTGATCACGGTTACAACCCTGTGGGTGATCACGATATAGTTTTCTCCGATACCAAGGTCCTCTGCAAACCCACGGGTTATTATCAGATATTTGTCCACGAAGCAATTCAGATTTACAAACACAGACACAATTTCCACCGAGAAGATGGTTTCAAATTAAGCAACCATTGGAAAGATGTTCTAAATCGAACCAAACATTAAACAAATTTTCAATGGTACAGTATATTTATTCAAGTAGTGGCATTCCAAACTCTCACGGTGTTGTAATGTCATTTTATGCTTATTCCAAGCTTTCACAGTAGTACATTTTATGCTAATTCCTTTTTCAAGGCGTTTTCTGTTTACCCCCTCACAGCTTAAAGGAGGCGACCTGCGCTTGGCTTTCTTCACTCGAACGCTGTCCTCATGACAGCACGGTCCCTTCACCTGATGAAGGCCACTTGTGTTGTGGCCGAAACGTCGTGATTTTTGTTTTTTTATTTTTTACCTACGTGACTTTACCGAATAGAACCAAAGAGTATGGATCCTTGCAGTCACGAAAGCTTCAAATCTAGAATTGACTGCCAGTTTGCGTTGCAGCGTCTGCGACAGCGTGTGGTGGAGACGCGTGCCACAGCGGAAAATGGTCTGAACTTTAATCCCATCACAAGACTCATCTGCACCATGCTTTAACTCGCCTATAAATGTATGTTGAACTTCTTTTGCACCATATGAAGCCAACTATGCTCATCGTATGTGCGGGGGAAGGACAACAAACTAAACACAAAAAGCAGTTAAAAAAATTTCGATTTAAAGCTTTCGTGACTGCAAGGATTCATCTTCTTTGGTTCTTTCGGCAAAGTCACGTAGAATGAGAATAAAATAATAAATTGATAAAATAAAATAACACAATAATATTCTCACACCGTTTCGACCACAACACAAGCGGCCTTCATCTCCCCTTCACCTGATGAAGGCCGCTTGTGTTGTGGCCGAAACGTCGTGAGAATATTATTGTGTTATTTTATCAATTTATTATTTTATTCTCAGTTAAAAAAAAAGTTTCCAATCGAGATGATTTAAGAGCGCATAGCTCCAGTGGCTTCCGTATATCGGAAGCCAGAGCATTCCAGACGGTTGCAGAAGCGCATCTGAAAGCGTGCAATGCAGTGAGCGTATTTGTTCGATGGCCAGCCAAAAGCCACTGCGACGAAATCAGCAAGGTATTGTGGTTCATTTGTGGCAAGCACTTTGTGTGTAATGAGTGCGAGCGCATCACCCCAATCTTCAGATCTCTTCACTGGCTGCCAAGCCACTGCCAGATCAGCTACAAGACTGCCCTCACTGTTTCAAGATCAATCATGAATTGATTCCCAATTGGCTTATTTGTCATCTTCTCCAGTAAATCTCACCCACTCTGTCGCTTCTTCTCCTTTGTTGCCTCCACTGTCTAGAAGTAATTCCACCTGCCACCCACACTGCTCACTCCACTTCTCTTTTCAAATCTTTCATCGTCACTGAACTAATTTTCCCTTTTTTCCCGTCATGTATTATTTACTAGTCTTTCCCTCGAAGCCCATACCTTAGGACAGGGGTGGGGAACGTCCGGCCCGTGGGCTGTATGAGGCCCGCGAAATCATTTGGTCTCTGGCCCTGCCAAGGCAACCGTAGGCGGGACTCGAAATTCAATAAATCTAGGAGCAAACCTGGAAAAGCAGTTGCGAGTAGCAACATCGTCAATACCAGCTAACATCATCACACGCCTCGCCAAAGAGAAGCAGTTCCAGCCATCACATTAGGGGGCGAGTTAATTAAATGTTTGACCAAATATAACAGGCTAATTTTTAAGTTGATAATTTTGTATGGCCCGCGAATGATGTTATAAATATACAAATGGCCCTTGGCAGAAAAAAGGTAACCCACCCCTGCCTTAGGTGAACGCCAATAGTGAGTGTGCAGTGAGTTGGAACCTTGCCTCATATAAATTAGCTCGAGTAGGATTTGCAGTTCCATTTATAAGGTGCTTGCCTCAGAAACTCGCATCTTCCATCTCATCTCAATCATTCCAATACTTAACTTTATTTTTAGCCCAGGGGAGCCCCTGATGGCAGCTGTCCCCACATGGCACAAGGTGAACACAGCCCCAGGCTGCAAGTGGGTAGTAGTTTGCCAGTTGCCCGAAATGTTTCTATGGGTTTTATCAATTGGGTAATCTGCAAATATTTGTATTTATTTGAACCATGACCCTAGTGCACGTGGCCTACTCTTTTTCCTAATCGCGTCACGGGATTTGTCACATCCACTGTGGAGCATACGGCATATATTTTCTGGTAATACACCCACGGCATTAACCAGGGTGGCCACGGGGATGAATCGTGAACCTTGCCAACGAGCGGCAATGCCACCGCCAACAACAACTTCTGTTGCTTCCACCGTTGCTGATCGGGGTGTGGATCATTCGTTGTCTTTGCTGTGCAGGTGTCCCAGTGCAGGAGCTGCAACAGGAAGTACCAGCCAGTGCCACGGGACAGGGAGTGGGGGAGTGGAGCGCTCTTCAACTGCACAACCTGCGATAACACCTTCAGGTTGACGGCGATAAAAGGGACAGCTTGTATGTGTGTATTGATGCATTGATTCGCAAAGCTTACGCGAGTTGTGCGCGTGTGCGCATGAGATCCGGTGTTTTATAAATAAAAAATGTATATCGTAATACGAGAGGAGCAAACCATTTAAAAGGATGTCGCCACTCAAATACATTTGCATAGTGATGTAGAGTATAAAGTGGGGGGTGTGAAAGCGAACTGAGAGCAAATCCTCTGGAACCACAAAATCCGTGTTGAGGACAGATAGTGGCAGCAGGCAAGGAATGAAACGCATCTCAGAGAACGTCCACTGCGGAGATGGAGCGACGACATCGGCTCGCGCACAGGTGCTCGTGTTCGGTGGATTATTAAATTGTTTGGGGGAGGCCTTCATCCGGCAGTGGATTGAACATGGCTGCTGATGATGAGAACGAAAATAATTAGCGCAATGTATTTTGTATACGATTACGAAAGTAGTAAATATGGAGCATTATCAAAATAAACAACAGATTAATAATGAAGACGTATCAAATAAACCTTCTGAAGTGATCACAAGCATGGAACAAATCGATGGGGTCGTCAAGACCTTCCCCAAGCATGGCACGTCTTCTGATGCCCTGGGCGCTCATGGTTCAGAAGGCCTTACCAACTATATCTATTGTTTTAAACTGCCCCTAATTTGTCCTGCTGTCGTGTTTTTGTATTATTTGTGGTTGTAACGTTCTGATCCGCCCCTAACTGGACATCTGTGAAAAAGAGCTTCATAGCTCATGGGATTCCTCCAGTATAAATCAATATTCTGCTTGTTTGTGAGCAGCGGCTGGGGACAGATGGGCGTGCCCACATCGCCGTGCTAGCGGTGCTAGGCGGCGTGTGGCGCACGCGCGTGCAGCGCCCCGACACGCACAGCGCTGCGCGCCCTTCCGGGCAGCAGCTCAGCTGCATGGCCGAGGACTGCTACAACCCCCAGGGTGAGCGCAGCTGGAGGGCCACAGCGCCACTCCGCCGACTCTCGCGATCGCCAGCCACGAGCATTAATACGCGACGATACAATTCTCTCTGTCTCGCAGACCCGCAGGAGTTTTGCGGGGGGGTGGGAGGGGGGGTGATGTTGCTGTGCATTTCTCCCAATGAGTGGCTTTTGCAGATAATTTGCACAATTTGGACCGTGACGCCGACATTCCCTCCCATCGTCTCTTTCCCAAGATCTTGTAACCTCGCTCAATGCAAGAAATATATTTCGGTTTTTTTCAACTTCAGGAGTGCTGTTTGTTGATGGCCGATGGGCATTTTGGGCCTGTGCTAAGCAACTATGATAGAAAAAAAAGATTTGGTCAAGGCAGAATATTGTTCCGGGGGTAGTTACCGACAGCATCCCGATGAAGAAATTAACACTGCAGTAAAGCGCGTGAGTGAATCGACATAATTCTCTGATCCGTTCTCTATACCGCTATCGTTTTATCAGCATAATATAAACACAAACCTCACTTTAAGACATCATGACATGCATAAATAACCAACCCAATAAGTTTTGTTGCTGTAATTGTTTGGGTGGAGCAGTACAGTAGCATTTAACACGTACCACTGATGAAAACCCCGTGACCCTAAGTTTGATTCTCAGCCAAGGCTAACGTGAGCGACACTTGAACCAATCCTATTTAGTTTGTTGTCCTACCCCCGCACCCCCGATTAGCACGTTCTCTACGTACGGCGTGAAAGAAGTTCAACATACATATTCATTGGGTAACAATGATTACGATGACAAGTCTCGGCAGATGGTTGACGTTGGATGACGATCACGAGAGACGGAGATTGGCTGCGTCATCATGGGGGTGGTGAGGAGGGATAGGAATTGGCTGACGACGATGGTGGTGAGCATCTTTGTAACGATGGCAGTGGTGAGGATAGTAGTAGAGACGTACGTACGTTGAACTTCTTTAGCACCGTACGTGGCCAACCGTAGACGACTGCGATACGCTGGTGGTAGTGTGGTGAGAGTCTCAGGTCGGTGTGCTTTGCGCACCGTGAGCACGCGTGGCAGGGCCCCCGGGTCCCCGGGACGCACTGTGTGCACGCGCACACCCTGCACGTGACGAGGCGCGTCACACGTGCTGTGTGCACGCGCGCACCCTGCACGTGACGAGGCGCGTCACGTGCTGTGTGCACGCGCGCACCCTGCACGTGACGAGGCGCGTCACGTGCTGCACGCGAGCGAGCCGCACGTCAGCAGCGCCTCCACGGTGGCCACGTGCATCAGCCAGGGCAGCCTCGTGGAGCACGAGGACGTCCTCATCGAGCAGGACCTCTTGGAGGAGGACGAGAATCGGCGCCACTGAGCGTGCCGCGAGCGAGGTTCCAACGCGAGTAACGCGCGAGCCTCCTCGGCGCCTTTGCGTTGGGTCGTGTTTTTAAATCGAGCTGTGAAAGTGCCTTGTTTTCTTCAGCTTTTAAAAAATAGCACTTGCCTACAGTTGATTTGCGTTTAACCGAAGCACAATATTTACACTGCGTTTCTAAAGCCAACGATGACCCCTTATTTATCGAAGATGGGGGTGGATGAACGGCGCGGTGGTTTTCGTGCATTGCACTGTGAACCCAGCGAAGCAAGTTCGATCCCCGGCCACCGCTAAAAAGCAGTGCGGAGTGGTATCTGAACTGGTCCTGGATGCCCCCTTTGTTAAACAGCACTGACAAGCTGAGTGAAGTATGGTCAAACATCCCTCGTGAACAGCACTGCTTGAGGATATTTGACCATTTCTTTTTTGGCCCAAATTTTTATTCATGAAAAATATTTTATTCCACATCCTCCCTCGCATCATACATTGCAATATTTTGACACTCCGGGCAGCAGTTCCAAGGGGCATCTAAGGTATCGGGCATACCGGACTTATCAGGGCAGGCGGGAGGTTTTTTCCTCCTTTTTAAAGTGCTCTTGTAATTGTAAAAACGATAAACCATAAACCATTTCAGGTCTTAATTGATTGTTCACGCTTACAGTGGCTTTCAGACAGCATACATTAATTTTTCGTCTCCCCCCTCCTCTTTTCAGAACATAGATGGACTCGCCCTTCTAAATAAACTGCCAAATCGCTGCGCGTGGCGCTGGCGTTTTTTAAATAAATAAATAAACACAGCGTTTAAAAATAAATACATTTATGCAAACCGACACACCTGATGACGACCGTTTGTGTTATGGTCGAAACGTCGTGAGAATTTTTTATTGTTTTATATATATTTTATTTTATTGTTTCCCTTCAACGTGACTTTACCGAAATAGCTAAGAATATGAATTACTGCAGTGACGAAAGCTTTAAATCAAAATTTGCTCTTGTAATTGTTTTGATTTTAACCGTGTTTTTGACTTTTTGTGTTTATTCACATAAACAGTGACGCGCACGAGGTGAAAAATGTTACGAAAAAAAAGTATTTACAGTCGGCATGTGAGACGTGACAACAATGGCTCTTTCATGCATCATGCTATCGTGCTGTGTAGTCAGAGGGAAATTCAGTAGGTACCTTGAAACACGCCGTAATTGTTTCTGAGGTGGGGTGGTTTATTTGAAATGTATCGGTTAGTGGAGGTCCACTGGCCAACTGGAGGGCATCTACTCTATAAGTGGCTAATCTGTATGCTTGGCTGTACGTTTGTTTCTATAATCTCCACGAAATTCAATTAACAAGGAGTCATTTTAAAACTAAAGTAGTTTATATTATATTAAAACAATACAAATACTTTTTACCTGATCAATCTTCTAATTTGGCGTTTCGGGCCCCTCGGACTGCTTAGCTGCTCTATCATTTACAATAGCTTGGCATGTGATGGCAAGCTCTTGTAAATTCGTACAATAGATAGGGTTATAGAGGGCGGGGTGGCACAGAGAGCTGTTGAAACTCAATGGCTTCTCTTTAGTCTCCAATAAAACCACCTCCATAACAAGGATCAACAACTTATATACAGCACGGCATATCTCAATGTAAAATCAAATACACTTGTATGTGCGTGTAGCGCAGGGACGTGCGGTCAGGGGAGGCACAGCCTCACCTGTCATACTCCAATGAGAATAGCTGTTACGAAAAAAAAGAATAATCAAATAAAAATTTACATTTTCCCACTGATCTGTGTTATAAATGTCATTTCTGTACTATTCCAAACATTTTTATAGTCAAAGTCGCCAAATTTGCGGAGCTCCGCTGCAAATACAGGAAGAGACGAGAGGTGAGGCAGCGGCGCGCTCAGCCTCCCCTCTGATTGCGCAACCCCTGTTCTGTAATGCTGCGTGTTTTCATAAGGCGAATTGGATATAATTCTATGAATGTATTAGGGAACACATTTTTATAACGCGCATACGAATTGGTTATAAAGCAATCGAGTGAACAGAACTACGTTGCGCGAGTAGGAACAAGCAGTTGTAAGGCGACCTCGGTGTAGCATCACACAAGATGGGATGCTGCTGGATGCTCTTGATGCTACCCACACGCCTCAGTCTTTGTTCAGGCTGCGTACGCACATCACGTGTTATCGCAGACATTGCTTTACCCTATATTATGCAGGGTGCTTCAACATGTTTTTAACACTTATATGGGACTATCGTTTTTAATGGAAAAAGAACGGATAATACACTGTAACATGATAAAGAAATGTATGTTAATAGCTGCAAAAAGTCAAAGAGTCTCCACTTGCTCGCCATCATTGTCAACACATGCCTGGAATCTTCTCTAGGTGGTCTCCAGAGCCCGGAGGCACATTTCTTGTGGTATTGTTGCACATTCTCACAAGTATTAAAACAATTTAAGCACCCCGTACATTATTTATTGTAACGCGATTTTCCATAACGCGGTGTTCTTCAGGAACGCAACTACCGCGTTATAGGAGAATAGAACTGTATAATCATGCAGGGTCTCGAACTCAGGACACTAGAGGTCGACTAAATTTAAGCTCGATTTCAATTTCTAAGGAATATTTTAAAAAGTGATTCAATATAAAACTGCTACATCTTCCGTGTCGCCTCACAATGAGTTTATGGATAGGAAAGGGGTAGGGGCAAAACCATTTCTGCTCGGGGTCACCAAATAGGCCAGCACCACCACTCAAGGGTGGGAAAAACCCGATTTTTTTTTGCCCGACAAATCGGGTTATTGCTTTTAATGGAATTAAACCCGATTTTGCCGATTAAAACCTGGTTTTATTATCGGCGTCTCGTGCACACTTCAATCCTGCTCCTCCTCCTCCTCGTCGTCGTCGTCCGCCGCCGCGTCGTCTTCGTCGTCGCTCTCGCCGCTGGACTCGGTGTTGTCGTGGCCGTCGCCCGGCGACGGGCGACGGCCACGAGCTTCTCGACTGTGCTGGGCGCCAGGCTGTTCCTCAACTTGGAATGGATCAATCCCATCGTCGAGAAGTTTCGCTCAGACGCAGCAGCAGCAGCGGCGGTCGACGTGGCCATGCCGCCGTGCGCACGGCGGCTGAGCCCGGGCCCCGGCCCGAACGCCGCTAATGGGTGCGTGCGACTGAAATCCCGACTTCACTTTAATAAAACCGAATAAAACCGAATTTGGGCAGGATCCAGGTGCTCCGGTTTTATATAAAAACCGATTAAAGCCGGAATGAATAAAACCGGGCCGTGCCAGCCTTGCAAACCACTGCCTGCATGTACCACGAGGAGACGTTTCAATGTCTTGCGCTCGCAGTCTCAGTCTCGCATACTAGACATGCCCCTCACCCATCGCCCACAAACACCGCCTTGTTGTGAAATAGCCAACGCAAGAAGATCCCAGGGTTTGATCTTCCACGAAGCTCATGGTCCACCCTAAACTGTATCCACTGCACAAACCACGGCAGTAGATGCGGATACCTGATGCATAAGTGGAAAATTAAAAACTCCCCAGTAGTGTGTGACTGTGGTCATCCAGAACAGTCCGTACAGCATATAACGACGCAACGCCCGATCCACAAATACGAAAGAGACATCTCAGTGACGATACACTCCACTGCTCTTGGCGCGGTTGTCTGGCTTGACCACCTGAATGTGAGATTGCAGTTGTTGCTCTGCGTCTACATTAGCCATGCGAAAGAAGATGAAGACCCATCGCCCAGCTTGAGGGCGGGGTGGGGTCTAAATCAGGAATTCACCATGAAAACACATTATTTCAGTAAAACAAATCCATATGATCTCGCAAGTGCGTGTCACATAACGGCATATCAAACACAATGTGACAACGAACTCACCTGCGATATAGCAAACTCAAGGTATCCGTGTGCTACCGATTTTGTCTTTATAGTACTGTATTCGCTATTCATGGTTTCCTGCTGCAACAAAAAAATGTTACAGCAATTGTTTTTACCTTTAGCTAGATCCAAGATAATGGATGGAGTGATGATGCAGTGGTTCATGCACTGCGCCATCTGAGTTTGATTCCTGGCCATGGCTGACATCGGTGACATCTGAACAGATCCTGTACCCCCCCCCCAACCCATACCGAGCAGCATGGTAAAGTATGGTCGAACAACAAAAATGACCGACACGGTGTGTGGAGGCCCTTGTACAGCAGTGGACTCGCAAATGAGCTGTAAGGTTTGCTTTTGTAAATGAAAGTGTGTTTTGGCATAAACTGAAAAATCTGAGTCTTGCTGCTCCAAACGAGCATGGGGTGCAATGCCATTCTGTATGCATCTCAGCAAGGTGGTCAATATTCCACATTCCTTTGGGAGGGGGAAACTCGATGTAACCACCACTTCTGCCCCGCCCACTCTCGTCCTAGGCTCTGTGTTCGATGTGTTCAATACTCACGTGGGTCTCATTCCTTTGACATTTGATGGTGCTGTTTGTTGCTGGACGCTTGGCGTCTTTGGGACTCTGCACAGATCAACTTTGAATATTTTGATTGTGTGGAATAACCTCCAATATTTGCAATTAATCAATTACACTAATATTCGATTCTGAAGATTGCAATTTAACCGCACTGTATAGCAGCACTTTCAAAACAATTTTGCAATATGACCCTATTTGAATACAAAATTCCTATTAAACTGACAATAACCATAATTTAAAAACATTTCAAGTGACAGGATATTCTGAACGTTCATTTTGTGTCGATATTATAGAACAACAAATATGAATTTTTTTGATAAATAAATGAAGCAATAATTTGGACTCACCAGGTCGAGTGTCGAGACGCGTGTTGCTTGAGGCATGCGACACAGCTTCTCAAAATCTTGCGGTGTGGCTGACATTGCACATCCCACCTTCAGCGGTCACATCCAAAGTCAGTGCGCTCACTCACGTGTACACTACATGCTTGCAAAGGGCACCATCGGTTTCGAGGCACGCGTTAAGATGTCGGGGTTTGCGGATTCTCTCTTTTCCGTGAGAAAAAAACAACTAATCACGTGACATTTCAACGAGTTGTTTCGTTTCAGCCGCGGTCACATCCATTGTTTTAGGCTGGGCATTGAAATGGGTTTCGTGCCTAGTGACACCTTTTCACGTCGAAATCAGGGAAATTGCTTGCGAAGTGTGCGTCCAGGCAGCTGAGGTGGTGAGTCTTCGCCCAAGTGGAAAGACACTTTGGAAATTGAGTGGAGCCGGCAGTTCAACTTCAACAAACTCATCTTGCACACACCATCTCTCACGGATGCTGTGATTTGATCGCTCATTTGTATATTTGTGGTTTCATTGCAACATTTGCATTCACGTCGTTTCGTTTCCCAACCACAGGCGCGTCTCGCTTAACGAGCGTTCTCCTTCACGAGAGTCTGCTATAACGCTCAATTTGTTCGCAACACGAGAACATGTTCCCGAAACAAGCGGAGGCCGATCAACCAAACGCGTCCCGTGTTGGCAAGGGCCGCTACGCTACAACAATGGGATCGTATTACCACGTGCCCTGCGCCCAGCCGTCAGATTCTCACTCTCCTGTGCTGCGCGTGCCGCCTGAGCACGTGACCCAGGTGGGGGCCACGTGGTGTTGGTGGCGGCACTGTCATGGCGGCGCGTGGGGAGCTACTCGCGACTCCCGCTCACGGCC